ACCTGGTTGGGCTCCCGCCTGTCCTCCTGAGCACATTTCAGTCCAAGGAGACTTTCCTCCCAAAGCACAGTCCTTAATTTCATGTACATCGTAATGAGATGATCTTGTCAGTGAACTGTCCTCCTCCACATCGGCAAGCTCCTGTGGGTTTGTGCTTTAAAAAATATAGTTTATTATGTGGTCTCCATTATAAAAAGCAATACCCGTGTCTGTGGCACAGACACGAGGGAGCCAGTGGGCACAACAATGGAAATGGAAAGGGAGCAGAGGAGGTGAGGGTGGGCACCAGCCACCTCACGGGCTGCTGGGAGGGGTGATGAGAAAGCACTTGGGAGGGGGCTGGCACCTCCGTCTTATCTAGTGGGGCCTCCATAGATGCTCATTATCATGATCCCTGCTGTTACCGCCACCACTGCCAACACCACTGGGCACTTCTCGACAGGGCTGCACACCAGCTCGGTGAGGTCTGACCCAAGGGAGAGCCCAAGAGGATCACAGAAGGAATGGTTGTGAGGACAGAGAGGGGAGAGGCACAATGAATACAAAAGGCCAGAAACCCATGAAAAAAAGACCAGCGTCAATGAAATTCGAAGAAATATAAGCTGGATTATCTTCGGCTGTGAAATTGGAAATTTTGAAAATAACAAGACCTGGTTGGGGAAAGGGTGTGGGGGGCTGATCACCACTGATACTCTCGGGGGAACGAAAAGGGTCATCGTTTACCTGGAAGCCCTCGGAGTGCGTGCCCTTAAGAACGCACAGGCCTCAGAATGGACTCAGCAGCTGCACTGCTGCGAGGTCATCTGAAGAAACGAGACGTGCCCACAATTGGAGCTTCAAGAGCGCAAGCCATTGTTGTGTTCTTTTCCATTAACTTGACCCAGCGTTGCGGTCACCCCGTCTGGCAGTTTGCTTCTCAAAGCATTCTGCGTGGCTTTGATTTTAAAGAGGAGAAATGCAAAGCCTGCAACCAGATGTTTCGTGAGCTGATGGAGATAAAGACCCCACCTGAGGCCCTGGACTGGCCAGGGTCCCTGGAGAGACCAAGAGGGTGTCTGGGGCTCTTTTTCACATGACACGGAGCCAGGAGGAAATCACATAATTACCCACCATCAGGTTGAGCTGGGTTCCCAAAATGCCACATTGCTTTGTTTATGTCTGGAATGATATCAGCTCAGTGCTGTCACCCTGGTTACCTCATGCTAATCAGGAGCTCTAATTAGCAGCCACATCTGATTAATTAAAAAAAGAGGGCTTATTATTAAGTGACAGTTTGGTAGACAAAATCCTTCAAAACACAGGGCTCTGGGTGGGGGATGGACCCTGAATGAAAAGATCCTTCTATAAGGGAAGCTCTCAGGCACCATCGCCATAACACGTGCTATTTTTTGCATGCTCATTTGGGGCCAGGCACTCTGCTTTGTGCTTTCCTTGTTTTATTTAACTAATTTCACTTTCACCACGATTTTGTGAGGAAACTGAGACATAAAGAGATTTAACTGACGTGTTCAGAGATGCATGGAGAGCGAGCAGCAAAGCTGTCACTCATGTCCAGGGCTGTCTGACCCCAAAGCCAGCGACCTTAATGGCTGTTATATTGTCATTCTCTGTCCATATTCATTCATTCATTCATTCATTCATTCATATATTTATTGAGCTCCTATTGTGTGTCAGGCACTATTGTGGGCATTTAGGACAGAGCAGTGAACCAGAAAAAGACTCTATCCTTCCAGAGTTTCCTTTATATTGGAGGGAGGAATTAATAAACATACAAGTCCCGAAAATAAGAAAAATAAAGCAGGCCCTGGCTGGGTAGCTCATTTTGTTAGAGTGTTGTCCCGATATGCCAAGGTTGGGGGTTCAATCTCCAGTCAGGGCACATATTTTTTGTAAAAAAAAAAATCAATAAAAATATTTTTAAAAGAAAAATAAAGCAGAGTTAGGGGACAGAGAGAGACGGGGAAGTGTGTTATTGTGGGTAGGTGGTCAGGAAGGCCTCTGGGAGGAGATGCCATTTGAGCAGAGACCTGAATGAAGGGAAGGAAGCAGGCCTGAGGCCATCTCGAGGAGCCAGAGGCAGAACATGCCCCTGGCCCCCTAATACAGACCAGCAAGTGCTGTTTGTTTTTCACCCCAAATCAAACCCGAGCGAGTTTGGGAGTCTCACGGTGTCATCTCTGCCTGGCAAGAAGAGGCGCTCCTGGATCCAGGACCAGGCAAAAATTGCTATAAAGGGTTTTATCAGGACAATTAGAGAAATTGGATATGGCTGCAGATTAGATAATTTTATTGTAACAGTGTGAAATTTTCTGCATTTGATAAATGTCCTTTTTCTTACAGGAGATGTGCTCATGTTTTAAGAGAAGCAGGGTCCAAATTTCAGCAACTTCCTCTCAAACGGATTAGCAAAATCATCATCATCATCATCATATTATTATTATTATTATTATTATGTTTTTTGGGGGAAGGGGTGTTGTATTGTCCTATTCACTTGGTTAAGCTAAGACTGCATTTCCCGGAATCCCCTTCTCTGTGCAGTTCTGGATTAGAGTTGGCCAAAAGCAACATTTGCCTGATACCGGAAGGCAGAAGTAAAGCGGGAGCCATTACTCCCGGGAGGTCTTCAGGGTCAGATGAGTGAGACACCTGTGTGTTCCCAGAGGTGCCGGAGGGGTCCAGCTTGTCATGCTCTCCCCTGCCCATTGCCCTGCTGACCAGTGGCTCCAGGTCGACCACCAGACATCCAGAGGTGGGAGCCACGCAGAGGCAACAGCATCCCCTACACTTCCCAGGCCAACTCCTTTATTTGCAGATTGTAACAGTAATTATAATGTAATTTTTTAAAAAACAGGCTCTGTATATAGTTTGAATATGTTTATATTACATATATTTTTATATAGAGATATATTTACTTGGTGTTATGAGAACAAATCTTTATTGCAAAAGAATAGCATCCTATATAATAAAGAGCTAATATGCTAATTAGACCGGACTGTGGAACCACCTACCGGAAGGACCAGTGGGTGGGGGCGGGGCTTCGAGGGCTGAGGCAGCCGGGGCTGCAAAGGCCTACCCTTGCATGAATTTTGTGCATCCGGCCTCTAGTATATGATAATACAATATCTTCCCCGCCCCCTCCCCCCCAAGAACAAATACTAAAAAACAGTTCAAAAGACAAATGCAGGGCTCCTTGTTCAAAAAGCAGGAAAAAAGTGCTGCTAAAGGTTCTAAAATCAGGCCTTTCCTTCCTTTCATGGTCGTTCTCTTGACCAGTCATGGTGCTTCTTAATTTGCTATTTAATATTATCCCAAGTAAAGGAAAATTTGAAATCTAAATCTTTAGCATAAATTTTATTGTTCATCTTTATAGTATACAAATGCAAGAGCGTTGAGCTCATATGTGAATTTCACAACATGGATTTCGAAGCTTGGACAGGCACTGGCCTTTTGTTCGTATCAGACCAGTAGAAAAACCTACACAAAGCTGAGTTGCTTTTATATCACTTCTTTGACACGCACACTTTCTGCCAATACTCACTACCTTCAGCTGAACTGAGAAGGAAGAGAAAGTGTGAGTTAGCACATCTTTCCCTTTCCTCTTATGCCATCATTTTTGGTGTAAGTGGTTGGCTAATAAGGGAAGTACCTTGAGTAACAAAGAACATGAGGAGGGCTCCTTGGGTGATGGGTGTTTCTTAGAACACCATTGCCTTCTTTCTGCTTCGGAACCACGTTCCAGTTCAAATAGAGTGGCCTCGCGGGGTTCTGAGAGCCCCTGCTTACTCAGTTGTAGACATAACACACTTAACCTTGTGGGGGCTTTGAGTCTCACTCAACTGCACGCATTGTGGATCCACTGGAATTCTCTGCTCACAGGGCATTAGAGTTCAATCTGCAAAAGGGACAGCAAGGCACTGTGGGGACACACACATTGCTCAGACTTCTTCTGCTCAAGTTGCTTAGTGACTTAGCTCTGATCTCCCAACTCTCTCTTTCAGACCCTTACTTCTTAACTTCCACCTCCATTGTAGAAGGTCTTGTTCCTGTAATAAATCCCTATTCCAGCGGTTCTCAACCTGTGGGTCGAGACCCCTTTGGGGGTCAAACGACCCTTTCACAGGGGTCACCTAAGACCATTGGAAAACACATATATAATTGCATATTGTTTTTGTGATTAATCACTATGCTTTAATTATGTTCAACTTGTAACAATGAAATTGGGGGTCACCACAACATGAGGAACTGTATTAAAGGGTCGCGGCATTAGGAAGGTTGAGAACCACTGCCTTATTCCACAATATTCATGGTGGTTCCGCTCCCCAGACTGAACTTGGACTGACAGAGAATATCATCACTATGTCAACAACTGGTGAACCTGGGTGTCCATTGAACCATTTGTACTTCTCTGTAGAATTCAAATTTTTTAAGTAAGATTTAAAAAGATTTAGCCGGTTTGGCTCAGTGGATAGAGCGTCAGCTTGGTGACTGAAGGGTCCCAGGTTCGATTCTGGTCAAGGGCACATGCCCAGGTTGTGGGCCTGATCCCCAGTAGGGGGTGTGCAGGACGCAGCCGATCAATGATTCTCTCTCATCATTGATGTTTCTCTCTCTCTCTCTCTCTCTCTCTCTCTCTCTCCCTTCCTCTCTGAAATCAATAAAGATATATAATAATAATTCTAAAAACAATAGTATTTTAAGGAATGAATCAATGAGTGAATGCATGAATGTCCTTGTTAACTAAACATGTTCCTATTATCCTGGGTTTAGACCTTTATTTAGTAGACCACATTAAAATTTTCTAGAACAGTAAGAATACCTCCCTTTTGTAGCACAGAGTCATGTTTTAGCTACACATTCCAAGACTTTTTGGAAGTCCATCTCTATCTCACTGAATGTGAGCCCAAAACCTCTCTCCCTCTCTGTTGGGGAAAAATAATATTGTGTGTAAGTTTGGTCTGATTTAAAGAGGCAATTGTGCCCCCACCCCCAAGAATTGAAGGTTTGACATTGTAGATCATAGAACCTTTATTATTTTTCCTCTAAATTCTTAGGAATGTACATAATGTCCGTGCTCCAGTTATGACACCATTTATAGACATTTAAAATGCATCTTCATTTATAAATATTTTACATTTGGTCCATAGAACAGATAATTTTACTAAATAACGCTGTAATTATTTTAAAACAGGCTCTGTATATAGTTTGAATATGTTTATATTACATATATTTTTTTATATAGAGATAGATTTACTTGGTGTTCTGAGAATAAATCCTTATTGCAAAAAAAAGCATATATGATAATACAATATCTTCCCCCCCCAGGGCAAATACTAAAAAATGTTACACATATTCACAGTTCTCACAGTAATTGTACGACACGTAATAATATTGTGCTATATAAGTAGGTTTGGATGGAAATCAGTTAGGGGATTTCTTGCCAAACATCTCACTTAGATTTGCTTACAAACATGAAATACACTGCATTTGTCTTAAAAAGACTTGGTCTTAGTTTCACACTGAAGAACAAAGAGAAAGTTTGAAGTCTTCCTGCCCTTATTCTAAAAGGATGGGGGTGGGACCATGATACACAGTGAAGGGTTCCTTTCAGCCTAAACCCTATAATTGAACGATACATATGCAGGTTGACCATGGAGTCGCCAGCTGGCATCTGGGATGCCCTTAGCAATGAGACTATTTTACAGATGATTCAGGAACAGGTTTTAGATTTCCTACACGATACCCAACAAGACCCTAACTACCACGCGCGAGGATGAGTGTGTGTATACAAATGCTTTGCGTTTTCTCTACAATGATGTGCTTAATATTCTGAGGGTAATACCTTATTGCAAGAACTGATATGCTGGTCACTGGTCACTTTCAGATGAGAATGACAAGAGATTAAAGAACCCACAGTCACAGTTATTTACCATAGTGATTAAGGATTAGTTGTAAAACACAGTTTGTGAGCTAACTAGCTAAGGAGCTACAGGGCACGACAGACAATTTGCTACTTGGGAACCCATCTTCCTGCCAGATGAGGAACTGAGTCACTGGGGCCTGCAAGGAACTGTCTTCACCCGATGTGCCGACTTGCCACCGCCACCACGGAGCCCATTCCGGAGCCCATTCCGGAGCTGATTCCGGAGCCCATTCCGGAGCCGATTCCGGAGCCAATTCCGGAAAGGAACAAAACCGACTTCCCGGGGAAGCAGCTTTCCTCTTGGAAGCACTTTGGAGGTGGGGTTGGGGTGCTGGATGAACACTAGCGCCTCAGTTGGTGGCTGGGTAGATTTTGGTGGCAGTGAGGGGACTCCCACTGAGGAGTTTCAGAGACGGTGAGAGGGCCGCAGCTTTGAAGGGGGTGGTAGTGAGGGAGGAGATCGTTTTAAAAAGGTCAGTGGATCCATTTGGACGCAGGGGTAGGATCACTTGACCTTGATTTCCTCCACAGCTGTTCTGTGCTCTCTAACTCTGGGCATCCTAAGAGACACTGGGGCTTCGATGAGGGAACGTCCCCAGCAGGATCGTAGGTCCCCCGGAATGCTGATTAGAAATTTAATTGTGCTTGTGGCAGTTTCCAACGGGCAGGGCCGGCTGCAGTCAGAAGGGCCTGGCGGGGAGGGGCAGGAAGGCCTAGCCACAGAGATGCTCTCAGCCGGTGGCAGGGAAGCAGGACCCTGTACAGACGGCTTGAGAAGCAGGCCGGGGGATGCTGACTGAGGTCCTCGGGCTTGTTTTAAAGTCAGCTGCCTCGGGAAGGAGAAAACCAAAAAAACGGAGAGAGCTCTGCTGGCTCCCTGCTACTTAAGAGCGAGCTCTCCCTAGAAACCTGTTATACAAAATGCCCTTTTCATGTGTACAGAGCAGCCTTCCGGTGGAAACGCACTCCTGCAAAGTCCAAGGTAACAGTCACGGGTTTCGGCAGTTAAGAGAACAGTCAGGGAAACGACTAAAAGCCAGGAGGGTGCAGCCTCACCGAGTCACACTCGCTGGCGGATAAAAGTGACCTACGCGGCAGTCACAAGTGCCCACTGCTGGACGCTTACGGGGCCCGGATTAAAAAGGTCACCGGCCCGCAGGTGCCGGAGCCGAGGAGTATTTTTGCGCAAGGCAGGACCCAGCAGGGGTGAGACTGTCCCCCACCTCCCCTCTCTGCGTGGTGATGGTGTCTGGACACGCCACTCGAGGTAGGTTGAGATAGATGGTATCTTCAGACATCAAGTGGTGGTCCCGCTCAGCCAGGCGGGGGGTGAGAGTATCGGGTCGGCGAGCCGCCTCGCACCCCTAGATGTAGGCCTCTTTGCTGGCTGAGCCGCTGGCCTGGGGCTGCTCCGGACCGTTCTCCGGGCGGACGATGTCTTCGCTGGGCTGGATCATGACCTGAATGCGCTGTGGGCACCGGGGAGAATTCGGGCTGAGATGGAAGGAGACGGGCCTCTCTGTTCCCCCACCTTCTTTTCAAGTCTATTCTGTCTGCTCTGCCTTCAAACTGTGCCCAGACTCTGCCGTGTCTCACACCCTCCACGCACACCTCCTCTCACTTGGGTTAGAGCAACAGCCCCCCACTGGCCCTCCACGTCCATCCTTGACCATCATCCCGTTTACTTTGAATTTATATTAGATCACACAAACACTCCATCCATGCTTTTGTTCTGGCCCTCCGGTCCAGTTTAAGAACCCATTGTGGCCCTTGAGTCATCTGGCCCCTGTCCTCTCAGACCGCCGTGTCCTTCCTCATCCCCTCACTTACTTCATTCCAGCCGCCCTGGCCTCCTCACCGCTCCTCACACACACCACGCGTGCACCTGCCTCGGGGCCTTTGCACGTGCTGCACCCGGTCTGGCACATTCTTCCTTTCAGATAGTGACACCTCGATGTCTACCTCCTTAGGTCTTGGCTCAGTGTCATCCCCTCAGTGAGGCCTTGCCCAGCACTCCCTAAACTCCTTCCTACTTTGTGTTTCTCCATAGTCCTCCTCCCCATCTAACATGTTTTCATTTTGTTATTTATTGATATTCCTCTCCTAGAATATGAGCTCCAAAAGGGTGGGATTTTCGCCTGCTTTGTTCAGTGCTGTGTCCCCAGTCCTGACCATAGTGTCTGGCATATAGTAGATGCTCGATACATATTCACTGCATGTTTGGCTCTCCCACCACCTTCTCCACCCATAACCCGCAGCCCTGCCTTATCAGCTAACACGCCGTCTTCAGACGCGCCTGGCTGCCCTTTCCCACCACGGTGCCTTCGCACAGGCTGTGCTCTCCTCCACAAATGCAGACCTGGCTTCCTCTCGAGGCTCAGCAGAGAACAATGGGAAATGAAAACACTGAACCTGGAGTTGGATAAAAGGGCTGCAGCTCCAGCTCTGCAAGGAATGGGCCAGTGGTTTCCTCACGTGGCCTCAGTTTCTCCATCTGTGATTCAAGAAGGCTGCCCAGCAACTCCAGGGACTGCACACAACCCTCCACTCCCCTTCCCTGAGCTGCAGACCCGAGCACCTCCTTCTGGCGAGGACATCTTGGTGGGAAACAAGGTTGAGAGCCACTGATTCAGATCTTCCCAGCTGTGGCCTCCATAATCTGATTCTCCAACTTGCCTCAGTGAATATCCTCAGCCTGCACTCACTCCATTCCTGTCTCTAGCACCTGGCTCCCTCCAGCACTGCCGTGTCTCACTCAAGAACTTGATACAACTTACCGAAGAGCTGGCATGGACCAGGCACACGCTCGTGAGCCCCTGCTAGGGAAGCACACCTTACAGGCTCTGCCTTCCCTTGAGGGTAAGGCCATGTTTTCTCTTTATCAAGCTCACAAATGAGGTCTCGAGGAAGCCCTCAACGCGTCTGATTCCACCCTTCATTTGCTCCGAACCCTCGATGGCTCCCCATTACCCTTAGGATAAAGTCCAAAGTTCTTGTCGTGATCTTCAAAGCCCTCCATGATCTGGCCAGACCATAAATTCCCATCCTCATCTCTGATACCCCCTGCACCCCTCCTCACTCTACCCTCCAGCCACAGCGATAAGTGTATACCTGTGGGCCTTGCACATGCTCCCCCCACTCCCCCCTCCCACCTCGACTTCTAGGAACATTCTTCTGCTTCTATTTTTAACTCTGGCTCATACTTAGCTTTCCCCTCTCCCAAGAAGCCCTCCTCCCTAACCCTCCCCAACCCAGCAGGGCTTACCCATCTCCCTGGTTTACCCCAATCATGGCTCCTCTAACACTCCATTGCCACTGGCTATTGATTTGTTTGTTAGACCGTGAGCTCCACAAGAGGAGGGGCTGTGCCCAGCACAGTGGGGGAAGGGGACCAAGGATGCAAAGGGTGAAGAGGAAGCTTACCTGCTTCAGGGAGCCCTTTAAGGTGAGGAACATGTAGACCATGTACCCAGGGATGAGGACCATGGAAGACAGAGCCATGAGCCAGCCCACGCCCTGGCCCCACTTGGGGAAAACATAGTTTCCCATGGTGAGAGGAGTCATCTGCACAGCACTGAAAAGGAACACACCCTGGGAGGGTGGGGGAGAGGGCGGGGGGCAGTAGGTCACACATATTGGTCAGCCAAGGTCCCTCCTCAGATCCTGCAGCTGACAGGTCCACTCCCCCCACCACTACCTTGAGGCTGACCCTCACAGAGGCTCAACATCTTGGGAATCTGCACTCAAGGCCACTTCCAGTACAGGAGGAGCCTTTGTGCAAGACAGAAGGTGTCCTCTCTGGGAGCACCAATGGCCAAAGGAGCCATTTCCATGACAACCAATAGTAAAGGGCACCCGTCCTGGGAGAACCAATAGAAAAAGGCACACCCTCTGGAAGGACCAATAGGAAAAGGTGACTCCTCTGAGAGGACTGACAGAAAAAACATCCCTTTCTCCAAGTTAACCAGCTTGGCAAGCAGAATAGTTGGATGTCAGTCGCCATTCGCCACTGGCTGGGTGCCCTTGTTCAAGACACAACATGTGTAGTGGCCCCAGCCCCCCCGAACAAGGACTTGGGGCCGACCAAGGACTTGGGGCATCCCCCTCCAGGGCCTGCTCATGCCTCACCTTCCCCTTGCAGAAGGGAATGTATGAATAGTTTGGGCTTCAGAATCAGGCCGACGCGGTTTGAGTGCAGCACCGACACGATGGGTGATGCAGCACCGACACGATGGGTGATGCTGGCTGGGGGAGCGCTGGGTCCTCAGTTGTCTGAGGTTGTAAGGATGATGCACTATGTCTGGCACCATGCAGGGAACAAAACAGATGCTCAACAGATGGCAGGGAGTGGTCGTATTAGGGAACAGGGGTCTGGGGCCTCTTCCATCCATCTCTGCCTCCAGAAGTTCCTCTCTGGACCCAGGGTCTAGTTGTGCTCATCCTAGCAGGGCTGGTCAGGTGCTGTCCTTACCGCCACGATGATTGGGGTGAAGAAGGACCAGCAGAGTTTCCACCAGAGGCAGGGCCTGAAGCCAACCATCTCTTGGATGTTGTCATAGAATCGGTTGACACCTGTGACATTTGGAGCAAAAGCAGGATGGATGGGTGAGTTGTGGGCATTACAGGCTAAACTCAAGCTGTCCCTTTCTCACAGTCTGACCATACACAAGTCACCCAACCTTTCTGGGCCTCAGTTTCCTCGTCTATAACATGGGGCTAGTGCTCTGAGGGGTGCTCATTATCTAGTAATTATTTAATAACCAAATCCCCACAGCAAGTAGGTAGCGTGGGAAAGCAAATCACTTTAACATGAAAATATCTACCAAAAACCGGATATGCTTACAAAACGTGTCCCCATCACTCTTAATGTCCCCCCAGGCACCATCTGTCCCAGCCATTCCTGCAAAGCCTTCCTGGGCCAGGATGGTTTTCCCTGTTGATCTGATGCTATCAGCAACTGGTGAGAGATTGCAAAGAAGAACTGCAAATCCTGCAAAGACCCACAGATGTCATGAAGTAATGCAGGGCACTGCTCCAATCATAAGCAAAGTCACTGACAAGGAGGATCTGAGAGCACTAGGCCAGTTAGAGTTGAGGAAAGGAAAATGATGAGGAGGTGAGGTGGCAAGAAAGATACAATGATTATCAAGCACTAAGAGGGACCCCGGAGAACATTTCTCTCAAACACATCATCTTGCTGTGATCATCGAAGAGTAGGGAAGGATATGCTTGGACTGCCATGCAGTTGGTCTGGAAACTTAGGCCACAAACCAACAAATAAAGTCACTATTTCCTTCATTCTTTGTTCTAAGATAGTGCATACTTTTAACTGTAGAATTTTTTTTGTAGTCTTGATTTCCCTTTTCTAGATAAAATCTCAAACAAACCATTTCATCCCAAAATTGATGAAGAAATCGTGGTTCCCGTTTTAAATGAGTTTATTTAACTGTTCTTCTTAGGATATCTTCTAAACATGGGACCTCCTGTGGTAACACCATCGAGTTGTTGTGAGAACGAAATACATGAATGTATGGGAAGGGCCTGGTGTTCAAGTTGTACTGGTTGAAAGATAACTGGAGAAAGGAATGACGAATGAATGAATGAATGAATGACAGGGGGAAGAGGGCTGATGCTCACCGTAAAACCAGGAGATGGAGACACACTCAAAGAACACGAGGAACAGCAGGCTCATGCCACTGGCCGAGTAGTAATCAAAAAGCTTGAAGACATAAATGCCCCCCTGCAGGAGCAAAAACGGCGAGAGTGAGGCCACTTCCGCCAGGGACCCGTGCATTCCGTTCACAGTCAGCCTGGGCTTTACAGTCTGAGGAGGCCGGGGTTAGGCTAAACTGCAGCAAGGAGGGTGCGGGCGTTGATTCTCTGGGATTGGGCAGAAAACATGCAAATGTGGGGAGCATGGAGGGAAGTGCCCCATTTCCAGTAAGGCTGGAGGGCAGAAGAGGAGCCATCTGTCCACAATGTTGAGTCAGTCAAGTCCCTCCCCTGCTCAAAACCTTCCATGGCTTAAATAAGACAATAACATAGTTCATAAATCAGTAGAAAGATAGAAAATAAAATAATAAAATAAAATCCAATGCCTTGGCCTTCAAGGTCCTGCATGATCTCTGGATCTGCATCCCCCACTTAACCCCTCACCCCCTCTGCCCCCACCACACCGTTCCTCACGTTCACCAAGCCCATTCCCACCTCAGGGCCTTTGCACCTGCTGTGACTTCTTCCCCTAGCTAGGTCTCCCCTGGCTGGATCTTCCTCTCATTGGAGTCTCAGTTCAACTACCACTTCCTTAGAGGGACTGCCCCTGACTACTCTGTTGAGGTAGCGTCTTTCCCGTCCCTGCTGGTCATTCTCTGTTCCACTATCCTCTTTTCTTCATGGCATTTAATGATCTAATGTGTATGTCAGTCTTATCCAAGAGAGCAGATATTGTCTGTCATGTTCACTCCTGAATCTCCAATGTCACACCAGGCCCGTAGTAGGTGTTCATCAATTATGAGAGAATGAATAAACACTAATTCTAAGTCTGAACTGTATTTGAACCCAGGGGTGGTTTTGTGGATCATAAATCAGACCCACAGGGCTGAGCTCATGGCTTTAGCGTCATTTATATTTATTGTACAATTCATCAGTTATATATTTGTCTTCTGTGTAGACTGAGAGGGGGCTTGAACGCAGGGAGCCTTGCTCATTAATATCCAAAGGGGGGGAAAAAGTAGGAATGAAAGGGAAGGGCAGTGTCAACTTCAAAGACCCAACTAACTCCACCTTGACTCTCCAGTTAAACTTCTTTAAATCCTCACCCGAGGAAATTTTTATTGAATGCACATCAGTACTGGGGATCAAACCCACAACCTAGGTAGGTGCCCTGACTGGGAATCAAACCTGCAACCTTTTGGTGTACGGGACAACACTCCAACCAACTGAACCACCCAGCCAGGACTCCAGTTAATTTGTACGAGTCTTTTAAAACTCAGCCCCTGCATCCCCTTTTCCAGAAAGAATACCTGGTGCCCTAGGCCGGGTTAGGGGCTATATTCTCTAGCTCCGCCCATCATTTCTGCATCATTGTGTCTCCCATCAACCCAGGGGCCCCTTAAGGGAAGGGACCCCATCTTACTTCTTGCAGTGTGTGCTGGGCTTGGCATGGAGATGGTATTCAATGAACGGGGTTTGGGAAGTAAAGTGGGCTAAGACAAGGGTGGGGTGCAGAGGGCCTGGGAGTGGCCCTGGCACAGAGTGGGTGCCAGGTGCTTACTGCCCTTACCTGAGTGATGTTAGAGAGGCCGATCAGGTAGGAGACGACGCAGACGGCAGCGATGAAGAGCTCCCTGCGGTTGCGGAGGAGTTTGGGGTACTCGTCCACCAGGGCGGTGATGAAGCCCTCCACCGTGCAGAACTTCAGGGGGAACAGGGGTCAGCCACCGCGGAGGGCCCCAACCCCAACCACCCACAGCCTGATTGGCGGGAGACCGGAGAGCCCAGCAGCATGGAGACAGCAGGGCCCACTGAGCCCCGGGATCCAGGCCTGATCTGCCTCGGCCTCTGCCTCGGCCTCCCTTTGTGAACTCGGGGAGTCCCTCACTCTGAGCATCAGCTTCCCCATCTCAAAAGCGGGGAAGGTGGCTGAGCTGTTTCCTGAAGTTTCATGTGGTGGACATTCTAGGGGACTGATACTCCAGGCCATCTTCTCAGGGGGCCTAGGGCAGTGGCCTCCTCTTTCTGCTTCCTCCCAGATGGGCAAGGCTGGGCGAGGGGCTCCCCAAGGTGCCAGGGAGGACATCCTCACCTGGCTGTCAATGCCCAGCATCAGCAGCATGGAGAAGAAGAGAATGGACCAGAGGGGAGAGATGGGCAGCTGGGTCACCGCCTCTGGGTAGGCCAGGAACGCCAGCCCAGGGCCTGTGGGGGAGAGAATAAAAAATATAAATAAAACATAGCAAGCACCTACAACATATTCAGTACACACCCACTTTCCAAGGTTCACTTCATCTCCCAAGAAACCTTTTGAGTGAGGGTTGTCAGCCCCCTTTTCTACTTGAGGAAAAAGTGTGTGCTTGGTCGGGGAGGCCGTAGGCTTGGGTCCAGTCAAGGGGACCAGTGGAATGAGATGAGGAACTGCGCTGGCCTGGCCAGCAATGGGGACAGTGCAGGGGCAGAGAGGTGACCAGATGGAGAAACAGGAAGTAGAACGGGCAGGTCCTGGCACTGGTTGGTTTGCCTGTGGTGGTGACGGAAGGGTACAGAGTGTTGCTGGGGCTCTGTCCTGGGCACTGGCTGGCAGAACCCTTTGCTATAATGGGGAGCACAGGGGAGCAGAAGGCTTGAGGAGGTCAGTGTGGGAAGGTTGTGTTTGAGTGTCTGGGTGGGGTGATATTCAAGCGATCGGGAAAACCTTGGCAGGAAAAGAAAGCAGACTATAACCTCCCTGGGGTCTGGCTCTGGAAAGTGGGGTGGTGGCTGTGGGTTCCAGAGAAATGAGCTGGTGGGCTGCCCAAGTGGGGGAGATCAGGGCCTCAGGGGAGAACGTTCCTTTCAGCATAACCCACGATGCTTCCTTCCTGAGCCCCTGGGCCTCTGCTGTGCACACAGTGGGTCCTCATGTTTGCTGCTTTCCTGAAGGGAGGGGTGCCTAGGTTTTTCCTTGGACCCCGTACCTATCTGTGCAGAGGGCAGCATGGGCACAGCCCACTGGATGAGGATGTTTTTGGAACTGGGACAAATGCACGGACTTGGGTGCTTTGTGTCATGGCGGTGAACATGTCTGAATTGGACCAACGTTTCTATCCTTGGGGCAAGAGCGAGTCTGCTCCCCCTGGATGCCCAGGATTGGGCTAGATGTGCCAGTATGGCCAGGCTCTGCAATCAGCCAGGTCTGGGCTCAACTCCAAAGTCCTACCACCTTCCCAGCTCCCCCGTGTCAGAAAGATCCAGAGATACAGTCCACATCAATGCTCAGGGCGCTGCCTGGCCCACAGTGGCCTCTATGCCAGCGAGCGAAGGTGGTGATCTGATGACCGCAAACGCCAGCCCCTCCCTCTCCAGAGCCCCGGTCCTGTGCGGTGCTGACCTGAGGCCGCCACATCAGCAATGGACCTCTTGGTGACATGGGCCATGAAGCCCACGATGGAGAAGATGACAAATCCTGCGAACATGCTGGTGCACGAATTGATGCAGCAGACAATAATAGAGTCCCTGCGAGAAAAGGCACGGTCAGGGCGGGTGGGTGGGCAGGACGGTGAGCTAATAGGCTGTGGCTAGCAAAGGGCAAGGGGGAGAGGGTGCCTGTCAGGGGGGCTAAAGGGCTGGTGGGTCCACTCCCCCACCCCCACCTCCGGGGAAGAAGTGGAACCAGAAGGAGTGGCCAGAGGGACTGGCTCTGAGAAAGACGGAGTTGACAGAGGAGAAAGGCCTGGGGTGTAGCCGCGGAGGGCTGTGGCCGGAGGAAGGTGCTCCTGTGCATGGGCACCTGTAGACGTTGTTGTGGAAACTGTTGTAGCTCCCAAGAGCGATCAAGGATCCTAGGCCCAGCCCGTAGGAGAAGAAAATCTGAGTGGCAGCATCCAGCCACACCTATAGGCAGAATGAGAAAGAATAGTCAACATTTATAATCATAAAGCCGCCGTGCTGCAGGGCCATTTACATGTGCTAACCAGCTCTACCTGGCAACAATCCCAGTTCACACAGGAGGGTCAGAGAGCAGCAATAACTTATCCTAGCGCTGGTCACCTGTGGCTCAGGACTCAGGTGTGCACTTAACAGAACTGGCGCCTTCTAGTACCTGGGGCCAGGAGGACCGCTCACCTCAGAGTCCGACAGCTTGTGGAAGTTGGGTGTGATATAGAAGAGGATGCCCTCCCCGGCCCCCGGCAGTGTCACTCCGCGGAAGAACAGGATGATCAGCATGATGTAGGGATATGTGGCTGAGAAGTAGACCACCTGGGAGGAAAGTGGGTGATATGGTCACCTTCCTCCCCCCCCCCCACACACACACCCCAGCACACCTATGCCTCCTCTTCCCCACTTCACCTACATCTGTACCTGCTGTGGCTCTGGGCTTGGCTCTAGTTCTCTTCCTCCAGGAAGCCTTCCTGGATTCCTAACATGCTCTGCTTGGCCACTTTTCTGCAGCTCCTCCTTGGAGTCTGAACCAACCAGCTCAGTGCCCGAATTTTCCCTTCCCCTATCCCTCCCCTACTTTTTGATTTCTGTTTAAATTAAAGTATGTGGTGACAGGAAAACTTAAAAAATCACATATGAACACACAGTTCCTTTCAACAGCCTCTAGAAGGTAAGTTACATGGAGGACAAGGCTTGTCTTGTTCACTTCTCTGTTTTCCCAGGGCCTAGAACAGTCCATGGTAGATAGTGGACACTCGATAAATGCCAGACAAATGCACCAATGCATGGGTGTTAATGCTTTACTGTTCCTCTTTGGAGACTTTACTTTGCGTATATGATCACATTTTCTTACAAAATGATGTACTTGCCTTTTCATGTAACATGCTTAAAATAAAAAACAACAACATAGTACATACATCTTTGTTTCTTGTTTTATTTACTAAAAATTGTTTTACTGTCTCAGAACAATGTATTTTTTTAATTATACAAAATAGTCCCTCAGGAGGTTCCACCATCCATTGAGGTCACTTCCAAGTTTATGTCAATCCTAAGTCTACTACATTGGGTACTCCTGAATATGAAACTTTGTCTACAAAATTAGGCAAATTATACTAAAAATTACTGCAACTTGTACTAAAAAATTATATTAGTCTTTGGAAAAAATTTCTAGAAGTAGAATTACTGAGAAAAAAGGAATAAGTTTCTCAAAGGCTTTAACTCATATTGCCTAATTACATTCCAGAAATTGAATTTTTCCCAACATTACAGAGAGCACCTTTCCTGGGTATAATCATCTTAAAAAATTACTTCTTGCCAAATTAATCATCAAAAAACGGAGATTACATTTCTTTGCTCAGTGGTGTGAGAGAGCAATTTTCAAGTTCAGTGACCTTTATATCTTAGCGTCATGCTCAGCATAAATTGTTCTGTGGGTTAGTTTCATCTCCCTGAGTTGACTCTGAGAGTCTTCGGGGTTAGGAAAGGCGGCCACAACCCCATCAAGATCACTGTACTTGATGCCCTGACCTGTTTGGCTCAGTGGATAGAGCTTCGGTCTGTGGACTGAAGAGTCCCAGGTTCGATTCCGATCAAGGGCATGTACCTTGGTTGCGGGCACATCCCCAGTAGGGGGTGTGCAGGAGGCAGCTGATCGATGTTTCTAACTCTCTATCTCTCTTCTTCTCCCTTCCTCTCTGTAAAAAATCAATAAAATATATTTTAAAAAAAAGATCACTGTACTTGGAATTAGGAAAAGGGGAGTCAGAACTGCCTGTGTCACCTACAAGCTATGTGACGGTGGGCAATTTCTTATCCTCCCTAAGCCTATCTGTTTTCTTGTCTGTAAAATGGGTACAATCAACCTTGCTAGTCAGAAAGTTTGGTCGCATGAGGACATACAACATGCTTAATATTTGCTGCTAGGTCTTGCAGTTCAATGTGTCTTCCATGTGCAGCATGGAGCTAGGTACACAGTCAGTGCTCAGTGAATGTTTACTGATGGAGTGGTTGGCTCACTCAAGAGATGCAGTGAGGGAGGCCCTACCTCTGTCCCCAAGAAGTAGCCAGTCTTCTAATGTAGCAGGAACTCTAGATACCACCCAAAAATGATTATAATTGATGTCATGTATTGAGTGCCTACTGTGTGCTAGGCATATGCTACACACTGTGTGTAGATTACCCCCCTCAAGTCTTTGTAACAACCCTGTGAGGTGCCAGTATTGTGACCACTTCACAGATGAGGAGACTGAGGCTCAGAGAAGTGAACTGACTTGCCCAGGAGCACACAGCTAGGCACCAGGGGTCTAGGCCACTATGTTCTTCTGCTTCTAAAAGTTGGGCCTGGAGACAACTGTGGCCTCCTTCTCTCGTGCAGCCTAGGGACAGAGCAGAGCTGCTTTGACACCAGCCTTGAATTTGAGTCCAAAAGTCCGACCAGACTAAATGGGGCAGTTTTTTCATAAGCTGTGCCCATTCCCAAGTGTAGAATTCATTGAGGTTCTGTTTTGCTCATTCAGCTTCTTAGGCAGCCTGAACCTCCCTGTCTCCAGCCTTAGTCAGTTCAAATCCTTTCTCTCCCTCACTTACTTTAATGACCTCAGACAACACACTTGCTGCATCCTTCAGGCCAAGACCAGTGAGACCTGGTCATCTTCTGTCCCCGGACTCATGGGGTGGGACTTAAAGCGGGTAAGAAGTAGGTTTGAGGCCAGTCTTCCTCCCCCCAGTTTGATTGGCAAGCTCCCCACCCATGTCCCCAGGTTGCGCAACCCAACTTGGCCTGGCTCTGCCCTTGCCAATAATAAAAACAAAAACAATAACTCCCCTTGCCAGCTGCAGAGCGCCTCTGCCCTTGCCAATAATAAAAACAAAAACAATAACTCCCCTTGCCAGCTGCAGAGCGCCTTACAAAATCATGAAATTTTGATCTGCATAACAAACCAACAGATAAGCATAGTATTAGCCCCATTTTTAGAGGAAGAAATTTTGATCTGCATAACAAACCAACAGATAAGCATAGTATTAGCCCCATTTTTAGAGGAAGAAACTAAGTTTCAGAGGTGAAGTGACTTGCCCAAGGGCATAGGGCCAAGTCAATGGCCAAGTTGGGATCTGAACTCAGGTCTATTTGAATACAAGGCCTGAGTAGTCAACTATTAATCAATCCATCTCCGTTGCTCTTCAAAGCTGGGATGTGGGGTAGTCACCCCTGGACCATAGTTTAATGGTCAATGAGTAACATTTACCCTCTGTCTTGCAGTGGCTCTGCCAGGCCCAGGCTAATCTCAAAAGACTTAATGTGAGCCTGGCACCGTGTTAAGTGCCTAATTTGCATTATTTCCTTTAATCCTTACACCTCCCCAAAGGTAGGTAATGTTATTCCCATTTTATAGGGAAGAAAACTGAGGCACAGCGTGATGAAGAGACCTGCTTAAATTAAAGATGGAAAGGGTTCCTGGGAGGCACAGACTGCTTGCCCAGGTGGGAGATCCCCGCATCCCTCTCTAGTTCCCACTGTGCACGTCTCTTACCTTTCCAGTCCAGCCAACACCCTTCCAGATACAGAAATACACAAGGATCCAGGCGATGGCCAGGGTGATGGCCAGAGGCCAGCGGATCTGACCCGGCTTATCCAGCCCGTCCGTCATCTGATGCATGTTACGCCTGATGGAACAGGAGGGAGGTGACAGTCACGGGGGCCGGACTGACCCGGGAGCTGGGCCAGTGTGTGGACACAGGTAATATCTTGCACTGTGACTGCTGACATCTGCGGTCACTGAGATCTAAGAGCTGCGTGGGGACCGTGGGGCCCATTATACTAATCGGTAGAAAGGGCTGACCTGCCAGTGCCTTAATTCAGCCTCCACTGTTGCTCACGTAGATGGCTGCAGGTCTCCGCCCAGGATCCCCACCTTCACTTTCTCTCTGTCCCCACTCCAGTCCCCAGAGATCCTTCTAATTGCAAGTCTGGTCATGTCACTCCTCCGCTTAAAGTTCTGCAATGAATCGCTTCTTATTGTTCTCAGAATGAAGCCCAACTCTCCAGGTGGCTCTTGCAAGCCGTGATGAGCTGGCCCTCGTCTTGGCTCTCACCACAGCCCCTCAAGCTCTCCTACGACTGGACTACTTGTCATCCCCTCACTCCAGCTTGCTTGCTCTCACCTGCCTCCAAGCCTTCACGCATACTCTTCCCACACCTGTCTCCCCGACAGTGCTTTTCATCCTTAGATGCCATTCCTCACCGAGGTTGGTCCAGGCGCCTCCGTGGGGCCCCACAGCCTTCCATGTCCCTCCTTTCAGTGCTGGTCACTTGGTGTTGCCACTGCCTGTTTACCTATCCACATCCCTAACCAGACTGCTCAAGAAATGTTTATTGAATAAAAGGTTGAATGAAAAGCCTGGACGTGTGGGAGACAACTGCATGTGGGAGATGCCTGAAAGCAGAACCAGCCAGAGTAGAATCTGGTATTTGTTCGTAAGGAGACAGCCTAGCCAAGGACGTTTCAGCACAAAGAGAGTGACTTCACGTGTTCTGACGCCTCCTGAGAACGGCGCCTCTTGGCAGCGTATCCAAGGTGCAGTGCAAACTTCCAGGTAGACCCTAGCAAGCTGCCCAGCACAGATGCTGCCTTCATGCCAAAGAGATTTGGGTCTCAGGACCTCGTTTTGGAAAATTAATGCTCCTAATCTGCACCTTCTATGATGAAACAATCAACATGGCCTTCACTATGGACAGTGCGTGTGTGTGTGTGTGTGTGTGTGTGTGTGTGTCTTTATTCTAACTGACTCAGGGCTGGTTTTCAGAATGAATCGGGACTTTATTGGCCTCTCTTAGGCCTAGGATGGTTATTCCTCTCCATTCGCCATTGTCTACCCTTCTCCACTCTGCTCTTGTCCTGGAGGCTGAAAGCTATGGCTCTAACGCCAGTTCCTTTGCCTTCTGGGTTTGACCAATAGCAGGAGCTCAGAGGGTGGGAGGAGAGTGATGTTGTGGATGTATTCTCCCTGCTGCCTGTGGCTTTGTCTGCAGCTGGGTTTCTCTACCAAAGGTTTACTCTAGCGCATGTCTAGTGGCTCTTCCAAAGTTCAGCTTTCTGGGGGAGAGAGGGGTTTCACCCTTTCTTGGGGCTCCCTTAGCCCTGCTCACATCTCCACAGTCCTTCACCTAACCCTTCCATCAGCCTTCTGAGGTGCCTCTGTACCTGCTGGCCCTGCCACCCACCAGGAATAACCCTGCACTCACTCCCAGAACTCCATCACAGCGCTGGTCAGGTTGGTGGTGTTTGCAATGCTGTAGTTGGAGAAGCAGCGGTCTGTGTTCCAGTGGTTGTCACAATGTTTCCATGGCAGTGTCTGCAAAGACACAGCGACACAGACAAAACCTGTTGAGCCATAGGCGTTGGCAACAGTGACCCTAGCACACCCTGTCCATCCTTATGGTCCCCTGAGCCCCCTCACGGCCATTTTCCCCCTTCCCCTTCCCAACAGCTCCCAAATGCAAGTCATACCGTGAGCCCCATTTGAGAGATCAGAGAGGGGCAGCAACTTGCTCAAGATCACACAGCACCTACGTGTCATTGCTGATATCTGAACCTCAAGCTTTTCACTCAGAAAATGAGTTTCCAAACGGCACCATAAGGTTTTGTGTGTCCATCCCAGACCACTTCCAAGCTAATGACTCTGAGCCTGTGCACACTGACACTGACTACTTACCGCGCTTGCACTTTTCCAGGCACAGACCTAAGCGCTGCACACACATTTATGCTGCAATTCTCACAACTCTAGGAGGGCACTGAGGCTCAGAGAGGTTAAGTCTCCTCCCCGAAGTTGCACAGCTGGTATAGAGTAGGGTCAGGGTTTGAACCTGGGTTCATATAAAGTGGGCTAACAATACCCATCTTAGCGGGGTGTCATGAGGGTTAGATGTTACCCCACGAAGCGCCTGGCCCAGAATAGGGGCTCGGGTCATGGGGCTATAACTGTGGGGAGACAAGGGCTGCTGAAGACCACCTTGCCCCCTGCCGCTGGAGGAACGGCTCTGTCAGCAGAATTGTGGTCCTAGTGGATGCAGGGTGGACTCTGGGTGTGGCTCTTTCTCGAGCAGCGGGTGGAGGGACACTCACCGTGGTGAAGGAATTGTACAGGTAGTAGATAGCCCAGGAGATGATGACGATGTAGTAGATGTTCAGCCAGAAGGACAGCACAGCAGCGGCAAGGCCCACTCCTGGGAGGGAGCACACCCTCATGATACTCATTGAATAATCACAATTTTCCCCGTGCATGTCACTGTTATCATTTCCCACAACGTCTACAATCTCACTCGACCTTGGGGAGAGGCAGGAACGTGGCTAAGGTCACATGCATCTGGTGAGGGAGGGAGCCAGGCCTGGTGTCTGGGGCCCCCACACAGACTGGCTGAAGGTGGGGCTGGGGCTGGGCCTGCAGGAAAGCATGCTTCTCCACGTGTTCACCCGAGTATCTGTCAGCTTTGAGCAAGGGAGCCAAGAAAGTCGCACCCAGCACATGCCAGGGAAATGAGTTACAGAACAGGGCAGGCAGATGTGAATATGGGCCCCCCAGATTGAGTCCTCCTCTCTACCGCCCTAGGTTTTGGCCAGCGTGGTCACCTGTCACCTGGCCCCTTAATGGCTCCACTCTGCTCAGACGTGGCTGAGCAGCTCCCTCTGTCTAGAGGGGTCAAGCATATTGGGAAGGCCCTGGCTTTGCCACCCTCCTGTGGGTAAGGTCATCGCCCCGACCCACGGCCCCACTCTGCAGACTTACCTTTGAACATGGGGGCCAGCTTCCACACCCCCAGGCCCCCGATGGATGTGTACTGGCCGAGGGAGCATTCCAGCAGGAAGAGTGGGACCCCCGCAAAGATGAGCGTCAGGAAGTAGGGGATCAGGAAGGCCCCTGCGGGGTCGAGAAGAGAGATGCCCGGGGCCTCCGGCGTTGGAGAAGCCCCGGGCACAGAGAGCGTCACACGGGGCGTTCTGGGGTCTCTGCCGTGATTTCCGTACACTCTGCCTCAAAAGCGCACCCACAGCCAACGCCCAAGGACAATCCTGCTCAAAACACACGACCTGCACTTGGCAAATGAAGAGGTGAACTCTCAGATCATTGACGGAGGACAAGCCCTTTCAGAATCCTTTGGTAAAAGGACACGAAACAGGAAGTGGGGCCTGACCCTCCTTCTGGAGTCTTTCGGGGACCCATTCCACTAAGGTTGCCCCAGGAAAGGTCTAAGTGGAACACTTTCTGGGGGGTCCAGGCCAGCACCTACCACCGCCGTTTTTTCCGCAGAGATAGGGGAATCTCCAGACGTTGCCCAGGCCAATGGCATAGCCCACGCAGGACATGAGGAAGTCGAAACGGCCCTTCCATGTGTCCCGGTCCGGAAGGTCCGCCGCCTTCTTCTGCACTTTGACCACCAGGGTTTTGGGCTTGTCACTGCCCGTGGGAATCTCGCTGACCTCCGTGGAGATCTGTCCGTCAGCCACCTTGCTGCCATCTGTCGCCATGTCTCGGAGTTTGGACGCAGGGGTCCTGGCAGATGGACGTGCGATGTCGGCCCCGGTCCACGTGGACAGCAGTTTTGCGGTTCAAGGTCACCCTAGAACAGAAGGCTGGTGGTGACAAGCAATGAAGGAGGGCAAGGTTATGGAGTTGCCCCCAAAATAACAAAAAGCAAGTAACTCACGAAGGAACCAGGGCTCTAAGAAAGCTCTCCTACAAACCCTGTTCCTCCCACCAGGCTCTGCTCCCCGAGGAAGGCGGGTGCCATTTGTTTCCAAAGACAACATGTGCGGGTGTGGTCTGTTGTCTCCTGGACTAGCTTCAACTCTGGTCATCTGTGTCATGTGGCCTCTGTTGTGTGTCATGCTCAGAGAAGAAAACCAGGGCGACCAAGCTGCCAAAGAGAAACACTAAATGCTCCTCATCTTTGCCTCCCTGGAAGCAATCAGATTTCCATTTCCTGATGCTGTGATAGCCACAGCAGGGTAAGCAATGGCAGATCTGAATGTGGAGCCGAACAGGGAGGTATCCCGGCCGCAGGTGGTAGGTGAAGGTGGTATATGAGCACAAACACGGACCATGATCAAAGCCCTCTTTACCACTTTCAAGCTGTGTGACTTTGGGTAAACTTCTAAACCTCTCTGGGCCCCATTCTCCCTCTCTTTTAAACCGAGGATGATAATAGTACGTCCCTCATCGGGCTGTTGTTCTTCACTTATTTATGGAGACACACTGTGCCTGGAAAACAATGGGAACTTGTTGCTATTTCATCAGCAGTTCCCAAGCCTGGCTGTGTTCCCAAGTCATTTGGAAAGCTCTATAAAGACACATTCCCAGCTCCCACCAAAGATGAGCTCCAAGTCTATACTTCTAACAAATTCCTTAAAGGAGATTCTTTTTAAAAAAATATATATTTTTATTGATTTCATAGAGGAAGGGAGAGGGAGAGACAGAAACACCAATGATAAGAGAATCATTGATTGGCTGCCTTCTGCATGCCCCCCACTAGGGATCAAGCTGGAAACCCAGGCATGTGCCGTGACTGGTCATGTGACCTCCTAGTTCGTAGGTTGATGCTCAACCAGTGAGCCATGCTGGCTGAGCAGGAGATTCTTATGCCGGGAGCCTAGCCCCAGCCCTCAGGTGAGGAAGGACCACTGGCTAGATCGGTTCTGAACCCCTCTTACCTCTAGTTCCAGAGAAAGCGAGTAGAGGACAGTGTGTGACACTGGACTCAGTCCAGTCTTGGGTTTAGATCTCTCTTACCAGCTGAGTGGCCCTAAGTTGCTCTAGGCTCAGCTTCCCCATCTATAAAATGGGGGTAATGCTATCTGCCTTGTAGAATTGTGGTAAACATGAGCTTTCATGGCCTGTAAGAGTGCTTGTCACCTGACTGGTTTGAAAAGGGTTATGATTTGGGTTGTTGATTTTACCTGATTTTCTGTGGCAGGTCAGCTCCAGAGCGGCTCCCTCTGCAATTCCTGGGAGAGAGCCTGCAAAACAGAAGAGAGGAGGGGCCGTAACTGACAGCCGGCACTGATGAGCAGCCCTGGGCAGAGAACAGCAGGGGTGCAAGAAGCCTGCTAGCGGCTGTACTCTGTATGAGCCCCTTGGAGCCACCCAGCTGGGGTGACCTCAGCGAGTCCATGCAGCATGGCTGGCCCATGAGGCCCTGGGAACATGCAGGAGTAGGGCCTGCTGCCCGTGGGCCAGCTGTGAGAGTGGGCCTGAGGGCACTGTGAGGAAGGTGTTCCATAATTTTATCAGAAAGAAGAGATAAACCACGGAGGGGCTACAGCTACTCAGGGTTCTACTGGGAGCCAATGAATGCAGCTGGTATATTTCTCCACGCTCCATCCACCCTTGCAGTTGGATGTTGTGGCGAGCCCCATGTTGTTGAAAACCATGTGTAACATGAGAGAGAGCCCGTTGTTTTGTGGAACAGAAAACCAGGTTTCAAAACAATTTATTGAGTATGTATGTATTGTATGTTCCTATTTTTACCTCCCCTCAAAATCTGTTCGTTAAAAAAAACAACCACAAAAAAACAACACTAAAAGATTTACCCTAATATGTTCTCAGTGGTTAGTTTATAAGTGGTTTTTGCTTTCTTTTTTTTGCAGGCTTCTGGATTTCTAGAATTATTTTTTAAATTCTACAAAAATTTACAAATAGCCCTGGCCAGCATGGCTCAGTGGTTGGAGCGTCAACCTGTGTACCAAAGGGTCATGGGTTTGATTGCTGGTCAAGGGCACATACCTGGGTTTCAGGTTCAATCCCCAGCCCCCGTTGGGAGGTGTGCAAGAGCAACCAGTACGTGTTTCTCTCTCTGCTCCCCCACTCTCCTTCCATTCCACTCTCTCTGAAAAAGCAATGGGAAAAATACCCCTGGGTGAGGACTAACTAAATAAATATTTACAAATAAAATAAATTTCTATGAAATTTTTTAAATTAATAAAAGCACACAGAATAAACTTATGGAACCCTAAGCGCAAAGAGGAACTCATGAAGCACTGGTCTGGGGACTCTCAGATGTAGGAGCCAAAGCAATGTGTGGCACGTGCCCCCATGGCTTCCCCCCTCGCTCTGCCCTGCTGGGCTCCCAGGTTTGCTGTGCACTCGCCTTCCGGCCCCTGGCATGCAGTCCCCATTACCAAACACCACTGTTTCTTCCTAGAGTTCGCGGAGAACCAGACCACCTTCGGACAATCCAAGCTTGACCGCCAACCCTGCTTCTTGTTCTCCAGGATGACCCACAGTTTGTCTCGATGCCCATCTAGGTCCTGGCCTGGGCATGGCACCGTCAGAAGGAACCCTAGACTCAGGTAGGGTGACCGCCTGGCGTCAGGAATGGCAGGAGGCGGGCGAGTCTGTGGTCTACCAGTCTTGAGACATTCAGGGGAGAGAGCAGCCTCAGGAAAGTGGGGTCAGCCATCAACTCTGAAAACAGGGATATCCTTAACTGCCCCCAGGATCTACCCTTGTGCGCTCCAGCCGCCATGTTTAAAATGATCCCTTCACCTTGGACCAGGGCTGATCACCTGATCCTGGCTAGCCAATCAAAGCTCCTTCCCTGGGACTTTGGCATGGGACGGAGAAAGGCCAGTCTCTCCAGCGGCTTGTTAGCACTGAGGCAGCCAGCCCTCTTCTGACCACCTTGTACTCAGAGTAGCAGAGACAGTTGGTCTGAGGAGGAAAGAAAGCAGAGATGAAAAGCTGGAGAGGGAATCTTGAAGGCATTCTACTTTGTGGTTCCAGGCTTTCTTAAGACTGGCTACGGTCCTGCTCTTGGTGTTTACAAAGCGATCCCACAGTCATAAAATAGACTCCCCATTTTTTTTTATTACATTGGGCTCAGGGGATTTCTGCTACAATCCCAAATCTCTGTCCCCTACCTCTCACCACTTGACCAAGTTCTCAGGAATGCCTATGGCCTGTGGGAACCACTTCTGGACTGAACTTTGGATTTACTTGTTGTTATCATGGAGACTCAAACCAAACCCCAATATTTACTGGATCACCTGACACCATTCAGGGAGAGAGAGAGAGAGAGAGAGAGAGAGAGAGGCCAGGTGAGCTCTGACTCACCCCCTGCAAGCAGGCAAAACAGCAGGACATGTTATGGGGTCGGGGGGAGGGTGAAGGGAGGAGAGTTCAGTTCATCAGGAAGTTTATGCCATCGTCTTCTCCACGGGTAGAGCACCTCCTTGTGCCAAGCCTGGAGGGATCAGAGGTGGTGGCTGCTCTGAAGAACTCACCAGGAGGAAGTCATACGTGCAATCTCCAGAATATGGAAAAGTGTATTCAAATTTAGCCAAATGCCTATGATGCCCTATGAGGAGCCACATACGCATACGTGGAGTTTTCCTTTTAGAACACGTGCAATATATGAAGAAGATCAAAGACATGAAGCCACAAATGAATATAACTGATGCCTCTTTGAGGATTCAGATTGACTTGCACGACAGCGAGACTACCCCATTGCTATCAGACCTCAGCTCTAACACTATACTTACCAGCGATGGGTGAATTACTTCCCCCCGTTCAATCCTCATCTGTAAAGTGGGGGGATACTAGCAACACTTCTCTCATAGGTTCATGATGAAAACTAAATGAGAGCATGCATATAAAGCGTGTGAAAGAATGCCAGGCTCAGAGTGAGGTATTATGAATCTCCACCATTATCATCATCGTCATTGTTACCACCTATGAATGGATTGTGATCTTAATCTGGTATTCACAACTTCCTGGAAGCTACGATAGTGATGATGATGATGATGATGATGATGATGATTATGATAGCTAACATATACAGAGGCTTCATTATTTAGGCCCTTAAGCATTTTCAAAAGGCAGCCAGAAACCATCCTTTAAGTTGCCATGGGGAATACTGGCTAATAAAAATGTCAAGTCCTTTGCTTTGGCTCTTTTGATACCAATTCAAAGTGGTCTAGCTCAGCCGTGGGCAAACTATGGCCCGTTTGAAATGAATAAAACTAAAAAAAAAAAAAAAAAGACCGTACCCTTTTATGTAATGACGTTTACTTTGAATTTATATTAGTTCACACAAACACTCCATCCATGCTTTTGTTCCGGCCCTCCGGTCCAGTTTAAGAACCCATTGTGGCCCTCGAGTCAAAAAGTTTGCCCACCCCTGGTATAGCTGATCACTTTGGGCCAGTCAGAAGCTGTGAGTGGTACATTTGTGTGTTTGGTTAAAATAATGAAAAATAATTATTTTTTAATAAATAAAGTCTGGTAAGGGGGGAAAAACACGCAAACATCTAGTTAGATGGGAGGACAAGGCTAAAGGGACCCCTGTCGGTGAAAAAGCCTGGGACCCAGTGCTCACATAAAGCCGTTCCAGGAGCTGCTTTGCCCACGCACTCCAGGGGAATGGCGGGGATTTTTAATGGCTGACAGCAGCTGGTTAGCCTGTCGCTGCCCTCGTGAAAAACAGCACGCGGAAAACACAAGCATGTGCAAATTCACAGCAAGGGAACCTGGCTGGCTGTCTTTCTAGAAAATTAATGACCTCTGAAGCAGAACTAACCTTTTACAAAACACTGTTACCTCCCCTTTCCTGAAACAGACTCCTGTGCTTCGTGGGTGTCTGAGGATGGCTCTGTGGGTCTGCTGCGTTGAGACCAGAGGCCTCCCTGCTCCTGGGTGCCAGCCTGCGGCCCGTCTTTACCTGCTGGCCGAGTGGGTGGACGGAATGCCTCTCACCAGCTCATGATGTAGGGCAGTGATGGCAAACCTTTTGAGCTCGGGATATCAGCATTTTGAAAAACCCTAACTTAACTCTGGTGCCGTGTCACATATAGAAATTTTTTGATATTTGCAACCATAGTAAAACAAAGATTTATATTTTTGATATTTATTTTATATATTTAAATGCCATTTAACAAAGAAAAATCAACCAAAAAAATGAGTTCGCATGTCACCTCTGACACACGTGTCATAGGTTCGCCGTCACTGATGTACGGGGCGTTCTTTCAAGGCCACCTTCCAGAGTCTTCCCGTTCTCCCTCATCAGGTAAACAAGAACCTAGTTCCAGGATTCTCCAGCTCCTTAATTTGCCCTCATTAACTGAATTCCACCAAAACAATGTTCAAAAGGGCACTGTTCATGTGAGACCACAAGCAACAAGTCCTCTGTATTCTACTCGTTCACTCCTTGATTTATCCAAATATTTACTGAGTACATGCTATGTGCTGGGACGGCAATGGAACAATTGTTTCAAGCATTTTGTACACTGACCTACACCCTGGTCACCAGAGTTTGAATCAGTGAACAGGGGCCAGCAGAAAGACTCAGTTTTGTAAATACTTACTGAGGGCCTAATGTGTACATGGAGCTGAGCTGGACACTCAAGTTGCAAGGATTAACAAGATCAGGTCCTTGACCTTGACAAGGTCATAGCCTAGAAAGAGAAATATCTCTGCCTATAGCTAATCCTAATCACAAATACTACAGGAATGTACGAATAAGACACTGTAGGCCTAGAAGGAATGAGTTAGTTCAACCAGAGAAGGTATCCCAGATGAGGGAACATTTGAGCTGGGTTTTAAAGGTTGAATAGGTGTTCATCAGGCTCAAACAGAGGGAAGGGCATCCCAAATAGAGGGAAATGCATGAACAAAAGTAAGGAGGTTTGAAGCTTGGAAGGTCAATTTGTGAAGGGCCTTGAAAGCCAGACTAAGGGACTGAGGATGGGACAGGGGTGAGAATGTGATCAGATTTGTAGAGAAGACAACTCATTCAGGGGAACTTTGGGAAGGAGTTGAAGAAAGAGACTCGAGGCTGGGAGGTGGTAAAAATGTTCCCATGATGCCCTATCCTTCCTCAATGTGCTCTCTGTGATCAAGTCCTAAAGCCATTGATAAAAATGGGCCAAACCAAACAAGAAGAATGCTCCCGCCAATCCCTGGGTAAGGAGATGCCTTGTAAGAAAAAGAAAACACACGGAGTTTGGAAGCTCTAGATCAGAAGT